GGCTTGAGGCCACCGGCCTTGTTTTCTTGCTACCGGCCAAAGATTTTGGTCAGTCGGCAATGTTTTTGGTCGGCCGGCCATTTTTGTTGGTTAATCGGCCATATTTTCCAGCCGACCCCTTTCCATCTGCTTTTGGCAGATATTTTATGCCAGCTGTCACAACTGGCATCCATATTACACCCCCTCCATACACGTGTATGGAGGGTTTTGCCTCTTGCTTAGCTTGCTTAGGAAGCTTGGCATTTGAACCTTTATAAAGAGGGAGCTCCTCCTCCCTCCTCTAAGGTTCAGAAAAATTAGGTTAGAGAGTTTAGATATAGTTTTGTATCTATACTCCCTTGTTTGATTATATTTTGTGCCCTAAAGTGAGTTTTGTCTTACTTTTGCACTAGAGCACCTAGCATTACACCATCCTTGGGTTGTTGAGGCCTTAGAAGGTTGTTGTTAGGGTTCTTGGATTGGTTTTGACCAAAGAAAGGTGCTGGAGTGGTGTTCTTGAAGAGGTTCTTCAAAGGTGAGAGCCTACTTTCTTTATTCCCCATTTTTGCACAAGCTTTTAGCCTATCTTGCTTATTGTTTTAAGCTTCGACTATACTGATAAAAGTTCTGGTTTTGCGTGGTTTAGAACTTTGTGTAAGGTCACTTTGAGGTTTGGGGTTGTCTCCCCCCTCGAAGGCCTTGTTAGGCCTTGTTTTAGGCCATAACGTTTGGCCATTGTTTTGGTCTTTGCATGGCCTCTCTACCACTGAAATCCAAAGGATTTTCAGTGGTGTAGAGGTGGTTTTGAGGTCCTGAAAAGGAGAGGGTCATCCCCTCTCCTTGTTGTCTTTAATGCTTGCATAAATGGCTTATGTGGTAGCATGTGTGTTTAGTTTGTTTTAGCTCCATTTCAGCATGTATTAGGCTTTGTTTTTCCATGATACACCTCTGTTTTGAGTTGGATTAGACATGCCATGTATGCTTCATACACTTGTCTTGTAATCCCATGATTTCACCTTAACATGCAACATGTTGTAACATGTGTTTTTAGCATGATTTTGGCTCAACTCGATGAAGCTTTTAGCCTTGTTGTAGCATGCTTAAGCTTTGTTTTTCATTGTTTTGGTTATGCTTGCATTGTTTTGTATAGCCACCATGCAATCTAGCTTGTTAGCTTTGAGTGTCCAAGTTGCTAGCATGCTCTATGTGGATCATTTCAGTGGTTTGGCATCACTTAGAATGTTATTTTAGTCCATGTTTCATGCTTATAAACTTACACTTACCACTCCTTTAATGTCTTAAAGAGTTTGTGTTTTATACCTCATGAACGTGTCATTGTGTATGCCATCATGCTTAGGTCATTGGGATGCCATCTAAGTGGGTTTTTGGGCTCATTTTGACATGTCATAACTCTGTTTTGGGTTGCTTAAATCATGCCATGTTTGGTTGAATTAGGGGTAGTGTAACACCCCTTTGATGGCCTTGCATGCCTCATGATTTTGTCCCTTTGTTTTAGCTTGTTTTGGCTTTGGTCATTGCATGTTTTAGGCTCACTTTAGCATGATTTAGGACTGTTTTGGGTCATACTTGCCATATGCTATTTATTTTGTGTAGTTTTGGTTCAAGTCCCTCGACTAGTCTTAGGCTTCAGTCTTGAGCATGCCATGCTTGACTTGTTTATGTGATTTGAAATCACTCCTAGCTTCATTTCAGAGCATGTAATGTTGTCACATTTGTATGCTTTTCATTCCTTTTAAGTGTGCTTAAAGGTTGCCCTTTTTATGCTTAAAGTGATGGGCCATTAGCATGCATGTTTGTATGTGGTTTTGCCCTCATGCCCTTAGCATTTTGGCCACTGTTTTGGACCTATTAGAGAGTTGTCCATCGTGGTGTAAGACCATTCCCGCATGTTGTTGCATGCTTGCCTTGCATGTTATCGCATACTTGGCCTATTAATATGTTGTTGCATGCTTAAGTGGTAGTGCATTTGGCATGCATTCTTTTGGTTTTACTTTGCTTAACATGTTGTTACATGTTTGCCTCACATGTTGTTACATGATTGAATGAAGTCACATGCTTGTTTGCATGCTTGTCTTTGCATATTGTTATATGCTAATTGCCTTGTGCAACATTGTTTGTTTGCATGTTCATGTTGCATTAGCTTGTTTGCATGTCTAGGTTGCATAGTTTTAAGCATGCATTCCTTGTCCCTTGATAAACCATGATAGAGGTTGGGGGTCCCTCATTTGTTTTGTGTGCATTTCATTTGACATTAAAATGCACACTTGGCACCTTGGGCCATCATGCATTGAAATACGTAATTGATGGCCCGAGGGTCGAGAACCATACTCCTTTGAGTCCCAAACATGATAAGGAGGGTGGTGGTATAAACATTGTTTTGAAAATGCATTGCCATGTTCTGTCTGTCCTCTGCTGCAGCAAAACAGGATTCTGCTGGAAGAGATGGTCGGTCGACCATCTTTAATACCGGCCGGCCATTAATTGTTAGCCGAGATTACCACAAATGGTCGATGACCAGTTCCCCATGGCCGGTGGCCTCACCTCTTGGTCGGTGACATCCCACAGTGCTCAGGGAGTGATTCTGAAGCTTCCTTGGGACTTGTGAAGTTTTCAAAAGTACAGATCAGTGTAAACAGAGGTAGCATGAGTATGGCGATGGATTTCCGAGCGGAGCCGAGCGTGCATGCATTCATCCCTCTTCTCGAGGCCTCTTTACTACTTTCTTATCTTAATTAATTCATTTAATTAATTAAGTATTGTGTAATATTTAATTAGCTTGTTAGTTAATTAATTTGTATTATTCTTTCGCTCCCTCCCTCGAGAGGGCGCAATCGTGTAATAAGCGTGCGTGTGTGTGATGCATGTCTTCCAAGCTCCACTTCTTTCTCCCTTTTACTTATACCGCTTACGATGGTTAGTTCTAGGGCATGTTTCAATTAGCATCCTTATGCTATGCATGTTTGCATCATTCATCTGTATTGCATACACCGGGCTCGGCGCATCATGCTAACTGCATAGTATTTCAATTCCAACTTGAATACATGTATCGAGTTGTTGCATTTCACATGCCATCCTTAGATTAGCCAAGCCTATTCTAGTTGCACTTTGCCTGCGATGCATTAGCCATCTTAACATGGACTTGGATCATACATTTGATTACTGACATATTCTTTGTTTTGGCTCGGAGTACACTGTGAGTGTTTATACTTTAGCATCTTGCATGTATGTGAGTGTTAACATGAAAGCAGGCTTACCATGAGGCTAATTGCTTATGTAATATAACTGCCTGAATGCCTGTGGGTGAAGGTTGGATTGCTTGAATTGGAATAATTCATCGAAATCCGTGATTTAGCCTACTTACGAGTAGCAAACTTCAAACCGTTCTTCAAACAACAAATGTGCGATGTTTTGTTCCAAATTAGGCGACCTAGTCTATACTTGTGTGTTGTGCGCATCAGTTAGTAAGATTAGCTAATTAACCGGAATAAGAACACATATGTTTTCAAAACTCAATATCATGCTTAGTACAGGCCGATCTTCAGATCGGGCCAGGGGGGGTGCTCATAGATGACCTTCCCCAATCGTACCCAAGTTCCCGAGCCGAGGCAACTTTGGTGATGATAGACACGTGGCCTTAGGTACGAGTCAGGATTTCCTAAATTCTCCCAAAATAAAATATTTAGGTGGGGACTCTGTATCTGGCAAAGTAGTCCATGTTTGGCACTTCTTTCTTAAAAATCTGTTTTCCAAAACGATTCATCGGATTTGGACTCTTTGGTGATTTATCAGTCTTGCATTGCATATTGAGAGATCAGATTAAAGAACCGTGACATTTGAGTCCGAACTGTAGAAGCAAAGACCCAGGGCACGTCTACATTTTCTGGCGACTCTGCTGGGGAGTTGGAGAACTTGACTCGAACTCATGATATCTTGTTTTGACTACACTCATGTGTTTCTTAGCATTGCATGTGCATTAGTGTGCCTAGGACACCGTGTTTGCCATTTGCTATTCCTGAATAGTTTGCCAGAGGCTCGTTTTGAGAAGCGTGCCATAAGGCTGACCGGTTACGGGCTCTGCCACGATGGGAACACAAACCCCGGTTTTTGCCGGGGCACCCTTTGTGACCATTCGACCTAGTGCATATCGGAAACTGTAGCGACCATTCCAAACTAGGACAGGTTGCTTGCCCAATTATAGGTTGTTTGAAACCGCTACGTGCGTAGTGAAACCCTAGCTCCTGACAAAATAGGATAGGGAAACCTTACCCCAACATAGGAGTGTTTTTGCTCTCACTTGTTTGTTATGTGCTTTAGAGTTGACCTCTACAGGGAATACACATATCAGTCTGCAAGTCTGGGCATCAAGCCTGCGGGCATCAGTGTTTTGAGAATTAGTTATATCTGCGAGTATCAGATTCAGATTTGGGGCAGTAATTTTGGGGAACAGTGATCAGGGGTCGAATATAGTTATTCAGCTAAACTTATGCCTGTTTTAGTAAAATTGGGCTGAGATGTTGCCTACTTTCTCTTTCAGTTCAGAGATTCAGTTTGGAGCAGCCAGCGTTCTCCTTTGTTGAGGCAAGACCAGTCAAGGCTTACCGGTTCACCGGCTCCGTCAGTCACCGGTTACATCATCTCCGTTCAGTTCAACAGACTTATCATGACACAAAATTTAGAGGAAATTGTGGTTATGGCAGCCACATTGGACCAACGAATCATCTTGCAGGATGAGACCAATGTTGAAATACCACATCCGCCTAGGTCGCCTGTCACGCACCCGATCTGGACGCCCCAGTTGTTTCAAACTCGTGAGCCCACCACGTTTGAGTTGATGGGAATGATTAGCGACCTCCAAAGGTCTGTGGCTGACCTCACCTATGGAATGTCGGCTTCGCCACCAACCACATTGTATGCTGGGAACTTCATGCCGCAGGAGCCCCCGCTACTGGGGCGAATTGTAATCGAGCTCAGCTAATCTGAAGCTGTCTCAAACTCCAGTAATGACAACGGGGCTTCACACTGAAGCAAAAACCCAAACCTCCCACCAAGCTGAGGCTAGTGGAAAGAACAAGATAAAGATGGATGCTGATCCCTACAAACAACTTCAGCAAGCTGTTGAGGTTCTAAAAGCCGAGGGGTTGAATAAGCAACAAGTACTTGCGATTTTAGCTAAGACTGTGGATGACATCTTCCCCACTCAGACCGAGAGTAGTTCAAGCCATAGGGAAAATCGGGATAAGGACCGTCGCACCGAAACTATTCCTGCCAATCCTAACCCTACACTCGGAAAAAATCAAAGAGCCAAGGCAGCACCTGCCGATCCCTTTGCTAGTGCGTCCAGCAAAAGTCCGCAGACTTCGAAGTATTTTCCCCGAGGTCGCAGAGTCTTCCATGCCCTCCATCAAAGTAGAGCAGTTCATCGTTACTCACCCCATAAGGTACTTTCTAAAGCGCCGCTTTGTTTGTATATTGCATTTCCTAAACATTATCCACTACATCACTTGTCACACATACCACATCATCTGTTGCACCCATTGCATTCATTTTCATCATGTGTCATCTTGTTTCATCTTTCCTTTTTATGCTGAAACACGTTTTGGATCATTGCCCGCCAAGCTTTTCTCAGAACATGTAAGAGCATGTTCTTAAGCGGTTTTCTCAAAACATGTGAGACGCATTCCTGAGCATTTTTTTTTTATCTCAGGGCATGCAAGAATATGACCCTGAACGATTTTCTCAGGACGTGTGAGACCCATTCCTGAGCATTTTTTATCTTAGGGTGTGCAGGATAATGACCCTGAGCGGTTTTCTTAGGACGTGTGAGACGCGTTCTCAAGCGATTTTTGTCTCAGGGCATGCAAAAACATGACCCTTGAGCAATTTTCTCAGGACGTGTGAGACGTAACCCAGAGAGGTTTTTTTTATCTCAGGATATGTGATGAGACATCCCCGAGCTTGGTTAGGGTGCGTGTCTTCATTTTCTCACGATTTCAACGTGTTTGGAATTTGTTCTTCCTCCTCTCACGATTCTAGCATGGTTGGAGTCTCTTCCTCTTCTCACGATTTCAATGTGGTTAAAGTGTGTGCTTCCTCACATGATTTCAGCGTGTTTGGAATTTGTTCATCCTCCTCTCATGATTCCAGCATGGTTGGAGTCTCTTCATGTTCTCATGATTTCAACATGGTTAGAGTATGTGCTTCCTCACACGATTTTAGCGTGTTTGGAATTTGTTCTTCCTTCTCTCAAGATTCCAGCGTGGTTGGAGTCTCTTCAACTTCTCATGATTTTAGCGTGGTTAGAGTGTGTGCCTCCTCACACGATTTCAACGCGTTTGGAATTTGTTCTTCCTCCTCTCACGATCCTAGCACGGTTAGAGTCTCTTCCTCTTCTCACAATTTTAGCATGGTTAGAGTGTGTTATTCCTCAAACAATTTCAGTGTGTTTGGAATTTATTCTTCCTCCTCTCACGATTCCAATGTGGTTGGAGTATGTTCCCTTTTATTACGCGAGGTGTAGTTTGGCTTGTATCTTTCACCCTTTTTACGTGATGCGTCATCTTTAGGATTTTCGGGCGGTATGCTCATTTGTGGTTTCAAGTGTTGCATTGCATTGTGTATTATTTGTATCCTGTCCCTGAACTACGTTGGTTTGATTCCTTGTAAAAGGATACGTAGGCAACCCTCAGGTTCAACCAACTACATTTGCATTTTTGTTTGTTTGCCTAAGTCTTATGGCCACGTCAAATGGGTCATCCTCGGGCTCTAACATTCACTCACGTCATGAAATGACTCTGAGCTCTGTCAAAAAGGGCAACTGCAGACACCCCATTTTGATCATCCTTAAGACTTGGGCGCTTCATTCCGAACATCCGACGATGACACATTACACTGTGCAGTCTTTTGAATCTTCAGCAAAAGAATTCGGCTTCGAGCTTCAAAACCAAACCTTGCACCCTTTTTTGACCAAAAACTTTTTTTTCTAGCCTGACCACTCAAAGAGTAGCAAGACCAAAAGTTGACCGGAAGGCCATTTTTTTTGGCCGGCCGTACATTCTTATAGCCAGCCAGCCATGTTTGGTGAAGCAGATATTTTGCAGCGGCAGGTTGCTCCCATGCACGGGATTTGGCCAGCCATTCTCTTTTGAAGATATTTCCGACATGAGAAGTTGAAATTCTATAAATATAACACCTCCCCTTTGAGTTTAAGGTTAGAAAACTTAGTGAACGAGCATTCCCAAAGGCATCAAAGTATTCTCTACCCTCTTGACTATAGATACACTATAGATACACCATTAAAGCTAAAACTTGAAGCTTTTTGTTGCGGTTTTGAACCTTATTTTAGATACTTGAGGGTGTTTGGATTGAAGTTTGTGAACCAAGAAGCTCTTCCATTTTTCAACATGTTGATCTTTGAACTCTCTTTCATCACCTTTTCTTATACACTTTGCACTTCTTTTCTTGTCATAATATACTAATTTTCAGAGTGTTTTTAGGCTTTGAAATGTGATTTAAAACCTTGTTGAAGGTGGAAAGGTTAGCCACCCTTCCATAGGCTTATCCATTAGTGATGTTCTCTTAGTGTTCTTCATGTTTTTGCTTTTTTTTCTTCAATTTCAGCACTATTTTAGATAGTTTTGTATGAATATGGACCGTATATATGTGTGTTTAAAGCTTTAAATAGTTAGTTTGATTCTTGTTTCTCTCTCTCTTCTTCAAAGTTGTTGTGAGCTCTCTTCTAGTTCCATCTTTGAAGCATGGAAATGGATGTTTTATCCTTACTCCATGAGTACGAAGATGAGCTTACAACAACTTTCCATAGCTTTCATTCATTTGTTTAGTCTTCTTTTGATTTTAGTTTGAAGCCATATGAGAGCGCTTTCATCGGAGGCATTAGAGACTCTCGATTAGTTCCTTTTGAAGCATGGAAATGGATTTCATTCCATCTTCACTGAGTAGGAAGAAGAGTCCTTTTGCTTCCCTCAATGATATAACCTCTTGTTTGTAAGCTTTGTTTTCAAGAATGGCTTTCTCAAAGCCTGTTCTCTCTAAATTTGAATACTCACTTACTCTTTATTTCCATGAGATTGAGTAAGTTTCATGCCATCTCTTTGAATGCTTCCGCTTCTTGATTTGCCTTAGCTTTGCATTCATTAATTTCCGCCCCGTTGCTTCATTAATCATCATCTAAATACCCTTGGGATGTTTGATGATTTGTGAAGCTAACCTACTCTCTCCTTGAAAATCTTTATGACATGAGGGAACAGGAAGGATGAACATCCTTTGGAAACCCTCTATTTGTGCTCTGTTCCAGTTATGTTACAATAGGTCTTTCTCTAGAAGAAGTTGCCGGCTGGCCACCATCTTGTACGGCCGACCAATTCATCATGCTGGTAGGCCACCTTATTCGTACGATAGTGATTTTTTTTTTTTTAAGCATAATAGGACAGATATTGAGGTCCAAAGCAGAACTGTTTTCTAACTGTGAACAAGGGTAGTTTCTAGCAGTAAGCAGAGGAGGTTTCTAGAGGATGTTCTTGCTTCTGGGCACGCGATTCACCGCCTCGCTTTGACATTCGTGTTTTGTAATAATTGTAATAATTAGTCGGACCCTCTTGTAAGAGGGCAAATTTGTAAACACTTGATGTATGTCTTCCAACCTCCATTTCTTTCTCCCTTTTATTTACATGCTTACCGTGGTTCTATAAAGCATCATGTTTTCCTTTATCATTCTCGTGCTTTGTATCCATTTTTGCTTGCATTAGCAGTCGGCTCATCATACTTGATGTCGTTATCATTTTCTACTTGATTATGTGCTCAACCTCATGCTTGAAGTTGATTCATATGTCATGTTAATAGCCGAATCTAATAGTTGCATTTTTGTATGCATTGCATTTGCATATTAGGATCATGCATTTTGTCTAACTATCTTCTTTTCTTTGACTTGCCACGTTTGAGTACTAAGTGAGCGTTTTTGTTTTAGCATATCATATGTGTGTTTGTGTTACCATGTTGAGCATATTACTATCACGCCCAAAATTTTAATAACTCGGAAATATTACCAAAGCCTTTAGATTAGGTCCCTTTTTTTTTTCTTTTTTTTATTACAAACATCCATTACCCTTGAGTAATAGAAATACAATGATACATGTTTTCTCTCTCTCTCTCAATGAATATTACAATGACAACAATACATGTCAATCTCCTATTGTGCTACAAATAAATAAATACATATACAAAATTCATTTCCTTTACATCTATTATGAAGTTACACAAAGGGACTCAAGAACTCCATAAATCTTCTATCAAAGAATCCAAACTTTTTTCCTGTAAAAAGATAAAACAACAACGGGGTGAGCACTAATGCCCAGTAGGAATCTCATAGTTCTCAATCAATAACTAACACACAGATAGAAATGATCATGCATGCAGGGTGATACCATATAGTAGGGTGCCATTTTATAATTTCAAAATACCATAAGTAAAGTTCCTTTTCCTCAAAAACTATTTAAACACTTTTAAGAAGAACTTTCAACCATTAAAATCATCCCTTAACATTGGAAAGCCATAGATCCTTGTGAAACAAACATATTTGAGAAACAACATCATTTACAAATTATTAACCAATTTCCAAGATATTTCTTATTTAATTTCCATTTTTAATATTCCCCTATGTTTTTATTTCTTCCTTTCTACTCATTATATTTATTTAGAATTCCATGAATTCAAATTCAAGTTCCCTAATTTATTTACAGAACAACACTCATAATTTATCTTTATGGTCACAACCAATTTATTAAGATCATCATCACCAATCCATAATCCCCTTACCCATTTTTGGTTTCCATTCTTTACAAATAATGTATATGCACATTTCCGCTTTATATCAAATTACACATCAATTTGCAATTTCACAGATTCATCACAAGTCACAAATAACATCATCAACTCAACACATAAAGGCTGTGAAAGAGTTAAAGATGTCCTTAACAAATCTACTCTTCGAAGTGATAATTCTACTAAAGCTGGAAAGAAAAGAAGAAGCAAGAAAGATGATTATTTAGGTGTTCATGTGAGCAGAGTTAGTAACGACTAAGGCGTGGTGTAAAAATATTGGAACTTGACTGACTTGAATAGTTAAGAGTTGAATTTTGGCGTTATGTTACACTGAAACTAAATGGCTAATGTTGAGTACGCTACTTCATCTGAGA